TGGAAATGTAGCCCCTCCCATAATGCTACAAAGATTAGTTAGGCAAGGTGATCCTATTCTCTTTGTAATCATCATGGAAACTTTGGCAGCCCACATCCGCCATCACAAAGACATCAAGCGCATCCAAATTACATTCATACCAGAGGACACCATATCGGTATGTTCCCTCTTTGCTGATGACCTATCTCTCATGGTTGATGCCTCACATGAAAATCTTGAGGCAATACAACGGATTATGGATGAGTTTTGTAAACTATCAGACATGAGGGTGAACTGGGGAAACAAAACCCTAGGTTGGTGGATCCACTATCAAGGAGTTAGGCCACCAAAAAGACCAATGATCAAATGACTCCTTATTGATTCCCCAGTGAGGGTTCTTGGGATTTCTCTTTCAGCCCTTGGTAAACCAGCATCCAACAGTGAAGGGATTCTGAAACATGCACTCTCAAAACTTGAATTATGGAAATATAAACATACCTCATTGTTAGGAAGATCACTAACAATTAATAATGTGGTCCTCGCCTCTATTTGGTATAAATTTGTTGTCTGGGCGCTTGATAAAATATCCATCAAAATTCTGCAGAGGCAATTGGTAGCATTTCTTTGGCGAGGTAATCATGGGTCTAACAATGTTCTCAGTAGAATGGCATGACAATCAATAATTCAACCTAAATCCATTGGTGGTTTGGGCATAATCGACCCTACCACCAAGCGAAGACCCTCTCAATCCAATGGATTAAGCGTCTTCTTTTTAATCCCCAAACATCGTTGAGTATTCTAGTTTGTGAGCAGATCAGACGCCTTGCTCCTCACACCCCAGATGAGGTTGACCCCCTAATGTGGTTGGAGAATCGCGCTTGGTCGCTCCCAAGGGAGTCCTCATAAGAATTTCCAGACCTTGAGCTATCTGATCGCCAAGCGGCCAGAGGAGACTTATCCCGGGATCCCTTCTGGATTGACCTACTTAAAACTTTGAGAAAACTACCCAGCCCAGACAAAGTAATACCAGAGAGATGGGAATAAGTTTGTCAACAACAATTATTCAACAATATTCTAATAATAGATTTCCAAGGTTGCACCCTAAACTGCACAGATTCCCACTGGAAAGGTTGGATTAGAAGGGGAATCACACACATTAGGGATATCTGGAACAAGGACACCAATGATTGGATCGACCTCCCGAACCTCAATGGTAAGTTGAAATACTATCACCACCAAAAGGAAGCATTGAAGCAGATAATAGATATTATCCCATTGGATTGGGTCAGGATCTTGAGAAAATGACCTACATTTACTCCAAATGATTGGGTCTCCATACATGATCAGCCAGGAATGGTAGGGAGGATAAGTGAAGTGCACCCCAATGGAGATGTATTAATGACAGTCTATATTCTAGGGGAAGATGGTTTCCTCAGAACTATCCCGCATCACAGCACGAGACTAATCCAAAAGGACTGATTATTCAGGATTAGAATCTTAATGATCAAGGATATGTGGCTGACTTTCAAACCAGACACACCTATATCCCATCTCCCACCAGATCCAGTTAGTTGGTCCTGGTCGTTCACGGTATACCCAGGTCGCTCCCACATGTGGGTTTTTTACACGCCGTCGGTAAAATCCACATATAGGATACTGCGTCCTAGGATAAATATCAAGGACAAAATTGAAGAGCGATGGATGAGACACCTGAATGTAAGGAAAGAGGAATTGCGGTCAGTTAAATGGTTCTATTCAATCAAGGCTAAACCAGCAAAGGTGTCATCCCTACAATGGCAGATCTCTCACCGATGCTTACCAACCAATGACTGGATCATTGACAGAACGACACTTGAACAAAGAGGAATAGCCCTGTCCTAGTGCAAATTCTGCAGATCTGCTTTTTCGTCTAAATTAATTCCGGAAACCATAGAACACATATTCCTACATGTCCAGGGTCGGTTTGGCTATGGCGGTGGTGGGACAGGATTTGGAATCAGATTGAAACCTCCCTATCATGGCCATGGAATTGAAAGGCTTTCCTCCTGGAAACCTGGACTCCATCATGCGAAGATAGCTTCACAACTAACTTATTCTCGATTGGAAGAAGGGCTGTCATGTGGGCCATATGGTCTCGCAGGTGTACATTTGAAATGGAAGATGCCCGACTCGATGGACCTGAGTTCACAGATACTATCAAACAACAAGTCCAACTAGAGATTAACGCTGGATGGGATTCATTGAAGGAAAAACTTAGATTCTTAACAACAGAAAAAGATATTAAACAACATATAAAAACATTCAACCAAAATTGACTTGGAGGGGATCAAGGTGGTAAAATAGGGCAGGCTAAATGGTATGGAGTGTGTGAAAATGCTCACGATGAGCTCCAAAGGAAGTACCACTTAAAATGTAATCACTGGAGCAACGTTGATCCTTCCATCCCCCTCAGCCCTCTATCTGAATTTCCTGATCCTTCCCCCCTATCCAAGCTGGCCTTAGTTCCGTTTGTTTGTTTGTTTGTTTGTTTGTTTGTTTGTTTGTTTGTTTGTTTGTTTGTTTTCATGGTTTGGGCTTGAGTGATCAACTACATCACAAAAGGGGTCACAATTCCATGATTGTTTTGTGAAAAAACAGAAGTGAGGTTAATCCTCCCTGTCGAGGGGGCAATCAATGCCTCCCACTTCTGGAGATGTAGGGTCGAATAGGGGATCTGTCTCGCCCATGAGCAGTGGCTCTGGCTCTTCCGGCCATAACGGGGAGAGGTGTGTGTCTATTGTGGTCTTGTTTGGATAATATGAGCCTTGGGCACTGGGCCCTCCCTTGAAAATAAAAAAAATAAAAAAAAAATCACACTATTATGATTATCTGTGGAAACCAGTTCTGTTAAATACTGATAAATACATTTGGAATGTTTAGTACTGCTAGGTGTAATCACATAACTGGCGCCCGGGTAGGGTGAAGAGGCACAATTCTAGCATTCCCAGATATGAAGGGTCATTGGACTCACTTTTCAATATCAGACTTGTTGACTGTTCATTATTGATGATGTAAGGGACGCTGGACCCAGTTTCCAGCAGGTGCAGCTCCCCACCAATGGAATGGAGCCATCTATCCAAAAAAAAAAAAAAAAAAAAAAAAAAAAAAGAACTCGAAACCCTAAGATACTATGGGAATTTGAGCGATACTCAGGATGGCGGCCCCAAGAAGCAGTTGCGCGCCGAGCTCCCATCACGTCGTGAGGTTGTCTTGAACAATATGAAATCTCCAACCCTCCAGGTCAAACGAGACGCTCCACCCCCGCCATCTCCTAATCCAACTGCCAGACCGCTAGTCCGACCAAACTCAYCCCCCGCCTCTTCCGGCGAGAGGAGCACCTTCTCCTCCCCATAGCCAGTTCTAGTACAGCCCCTTGGCAAGGTACACTGGACAAAAGAGATACATAGGACACCGCCGCCTCCTTAGACCTTCTTGAAGGCGATTGTGTTGTGAGTGACAACGTCAAGCTTGTCAACGCAGCCTCACAGAGAATTCGATCCATGCACAATAATCCTCAAACAGTTGGATCAAACGAAGCAGGAGACGGAGAACTAGAGGCAGAGATAGGAGAAGAGAAAACCCCGGACACTCATCTTGAATACACCCACTCTCTGTACTGTCCACAACCCACCCATGCCACGTGGCATCCAGCGTCCTCCCCATCATACACTGTCACACCAAGTCGTGGTCTTGCACCTTTCCCCACATGGCAGCCCCCCTCCAGCCTCGCCTCAGAGGAAGTCTCGCAACGCGCCATCGCTGCCCCGCTGCTCTACCAACTGCCAATTTTTAATTTATTCATTTCTTTTTTCCTCCTCCACATGTTGGATAAGGGACATGTTGGGAGGGGGGAAAATGGAGACTCTTTCCCCTCCTCCATTTTGGGACAGCAGTGAGGGTGTGGGCAATGCTTGTGGCCTCCCATGAGGGTTCGGACCGGGTTGGCCTGTGTTCAGACTTGACTTCCTCCTGCTTCTACCCGTAGAGGACGATGTACCGCTAGAATTTTGTCACGGAGCAGAAAGCATATCTAACAAATGCTTTGAGAAAAGATTGCTATCTGCTGCACAATTGCTGACAACTACGACAACCAAACAGAGTCGAGATTCGGTATAAAGGGAAAAATGAGGAGGACGTTTGGTCGGAAAGGTATACGTACCGGTCAATGCAGAGCTTCGAGTCATATTCAAATAAGAAGCAAAAAAAAGGGGTCATCAGTAGTGCTCTGGCACGGATCCGGGCCTGCACAACGACAGCCGAACTAGCGGAAATGCCCTTGCTGTCGTTGAGTAGGGAATTGAGG